GCAAACACTGGAGATAAAAAGGCACCCTTTTTTAAAAACAAAATAAAGGGGCTGATGAGACATTTTCATCTGTTTTGCACACAGTAACATTTCATTTCCAATCCAAATATTAACAAAAATACTTAACGTGCTTACAGTCTTAATTATATATTTATTTTTTTTTCAAAAGTGCTTCCCTACGGTGTCTGCCATCCAAATTATGCATAAATGGAACAGTGCCCAGACTTGGTGAGATAATATAAACAGAATTAGAAACCAACCAAGTTAAACCACACTGCCCACTTAGAAAACAGATAGTACAAAATGGTAAAATAAACGAGTTAGAAATATTTTATGCAAGCTACAATGTTACTAGCAACATGAAGTGTCTTGTTTTGCTCTGCAGTAGTCTGACAGCATCCCCTGGAACCACTCTGCACTGAGGCACACACTACGAGAAACCACACAGGCTTTCAACAGCTATAACTCAATACTCATTCTGGCCCTTTCTTCTTCCTGAGAGGTTTAGAACAGTTTGTACAGGTCATTAGCTACTTCCCTGCCAGGTTTGGCAGGTTTTAAAAAGGAGACTGTTGCCATAAAAGTAAAGAGCCATGCCAAAGAAGAGAGTGCCACCAAGACTACTGACAAGCTGCTGTGCACTCACTTTCTTCATTCAGATGAAGTGGATCCAGCTCTCCTCACATTCTCTAGGCATCTTAAGAGGGTGAGCCCGGCAGGTCAGACTGTAGTTTTTGCCTCTGTTGTTATCCCAGTACTCCTGGCCATTGACTTGGTACCTTGCTGCAAACTGGACTACAGAGCACAGCTGAAGGAGGAAAGGCGGCACAGGGAGAAAGAAGGTGAAAACATCAACCTGATCCTGCCCATTTTTCTCAGGGATGCTACTCTGCCAATGAGCACACACCTCATGGAGGCTTTTCCACTGGTTGAAGGTGTATCGCACAGATACCCGCTTCTCAAAAGCAATGTTGTGAACCTGGATGGTACCATTGAGCCCCAAATCTGAGCTAGTCACTCGTTCAAGGCACACCTGCTGCTCCTTAAGTCGGGAGGAGAAATCTATACAGTCTGCAGGTTGCTGGAAGTCAGGGACCAAGCACTGCATGGTATACTCCAAGTCCCAGCTGCTGTACCAGAGGTCTGAGTTTATGGAGAGCCTGGAAAGGACATGCAGGGGGATTGATGGATCCTCCCCAGTCTGGAAGACTTTCACTTTGGTGAGCTCCAAACCAAATGCATCAGCAAATCTCACCCGGTTCATACGACTCTGGCATCCAGGAACTTGGCACTGCACTGCTGCATGCTTCCTTCTTTCGGGTGATGTAGGCAAAGACCTCGCTCGGCGCCGTATGATGGGCCGCAACGCCGGGTCGCAGCTGGGGGAGGTGCTACTCGGAAGCTTATTTGGCTGAGGGCCCCCCTTGGCTGGAACGCTGCTCCAAAGAGTCATGCTGCTACCTGTATGGACTTCTGGAGGCTGCTGTCGCCGTTGTGCTGGTGCTTCTTCAGCCCGTAACATGTTCTGATAGAGATCAGAGAGGTAGCTGGGATTCCTCCGAGGACCACGTACCTCCATTCTTAACTGATGACACAAAAATCAGCGTTAGTGCTGCAAGTAATAACGAGCACTGACTCTCTGAAGCACCTAACCTGGGAATGGCAGCCACCCGGAGTATCTGAGGTTACTGCACAGGATACAGCAAGAATCAACTGGAACAACGTAGACTGCTGAATGAAGGGCACCTGGTAGTTCTCACAGTAGCTGGAAGTGAACCACACATCAGTGTGTTTTATGGGGAGATGAAGGCAGGCTCACTGACTGGTAAACTGGAGGCTGCTATGCTGGCTGGTGGGCCCGTTGCTCAGGCTGGAAAGGGATTCAAGGCTATCACCCCTGATGCTGGAGGACGTGAAGCTCTCACACAGGCTGGAGACTGACTGGAGGCTGTCGTGCCGGACACCCAAGGACTCCAGGCTGTCGGAGAAGTCACTAGATGCCCCGAAGCACCCTCGGCCGTTACAGACGGGGAGAGGGGACTGCAGGCTGTCCTCGCAGACACCGGCCGACCCCACACTCCTACAGCAGCAGCAGCAGCAGGGACACTCCAGGCTGTCACACTGGATGCTGGGCGACTCGCGGGGACTGCCGAGGCAGGGGAAGGCTTGGAGGCTGTCGGGCGGGAGGGA